GTGACATCCCCACACATTCTACCTTGTCCCATAACCTCAGGACATACTTATCATTCCAGTCAATACTAGTCGTATTTGCATTTGTTAGCTATGCATTGTAAAACCTCATTGATTTGTTACTAGTTACTGTTAATATGTAAAGGTTATGCAATTCTGTGTGGGAATCTATCATACCAAGGACTATAGGCCCTTGGTATGATAAATGCCATAGACACTGAAAGAATTGTATAACCATGTATAGTGGTATAACCAACTCCGTGTATTAAAATAAACAACTAGTTTATTTAGCACATAGATATTAGAGTGAATGAAAGGGATAGGAAACTAGAAAAGGGCAAGATAATAATTGCATTACGGATACTACTTTCCCTAGTTAAGGTGGGTTCTCAATATGACGCATGCACGTCCGTCATGACCGGAAGTGCTGTATAAACCAATGGGAACATGTGTCAATGCGTCAAATTAGAAAACATTTCTAATCTGACGCATTGACGCATGCTCCCATTGGTTTATACAGCACTTCTAGTCATGATGCTAGCACATGAAAAACAATGTGTCATATTGAGAACCCACCTTTACACAGCAAGACAGCAATTTTTTTACTTTTCAGCTTACAGTTCTCTTATAACAGTAAATGGGACCAAGTACAAGAGTTAAAACAAATGCTATGAAGCTACACTATTTTACTGTAGTAAAAAATAAATTCTTTTAATACACTTTTAATAAAAGTACTAGTTTCCGCTTTGGTCCCCATTATCTCAAAAGAAAAATTATAAGTGGAAGGTTTAATTGGACAAATTTGCCCAATTAAAACTTGCCAATCACCAAAAAATTAGCAATTTGCCAAAATTTGTCCTCCAAAATTAACCGGTATATGGCATTAAATAAATCAGAGCTTCAACCCGATTTATAGAATGAAGCTTGACCTGCCATTACTGAATAATTAAAGAGTGAAGTTTAAGGATTGAATTTTTCAAAATTTATATTATGATTTCGTTAGATGTATTTGCCGAAAAACGAATCCTGATTGCTGCAACAAAGCTAGATGACTTGAAGTTACTCTACAGTGATAATGATGAATCAAATGCAGACAGCAATGATGAAGTCACATTAACCCTTGAAGAGCGTATTCATAGTGTAAAGAAGATTATCAAGCGTCAGTGCAACAATTTAAATGTGTCTATTCCAGATGATTGCATTATCCCTTTGTGTGCCACTGGAGCTCTTGAGGCAAGGAAAGAAAAACTAGGAGGAAAGAGGAATAAAGAAATGAAAAAATTGTTGATAGAGTTGGATGTATCAACTGCAGAAGACCTAGAAGAAGCTAGTCAGGTATCATTATTGGAAGAAAAGTAAGTAATTATACTTTAATTTGTTATTTTTATTTATGCAGACTTATTGAAATTGCTGGTAATTCTCATTATTTATGGCACTACAACATTGTGAGGGATTGTACTAGATACTTGGACCAAGCTATG